GTGCCTCCTGTCGCATAGCAAACACCGTGCCAATCCTGCTTCGGCCTCCTGTCGAAGCACCACAATAATCCGAATCATTGCAGACACCGTGTCACTGCAACATCAGTTGTGATGTCGGAAAAGTCTTGGGAGGAGGGGGAGGGAATGGTGGTGCGCCATGGGGGAGTTGTTTATCAGGACAAGGGATGGAGGAGACGATCGCGCATGCAGTGCAACAGCATCACGACAAGTGATCATAAGCATGTGTATTAGCCACTGGTTAGCCATGGGTGCCGTCGCAACCGAATCTTAGGTGCAGTCGCAGCCTTACGGCGTCGGTTCCACCAGCCTCGGAATGCACATGGAGTCATACAGCGACACTGGCCTGCGGCCCCTGACCCGGACATAGTTACGAGACTGACCAACCAGGCAACCAGCGGACAGACGCTGTCGGGCGTACGTGGACGAACCGCGGGCAGCCGACTCGGGGCAGAGTGGGAGCGGGAGGACGAAGGAAGGAACGGCAGAGGAGGAAGAGGAAGGGAAAGGGCAAAATGACGGCGGCGACAGCTCAAACTCAGCCCCTGAAGAGCGTCGCAAAGGCGAAGTGCGAAAATGCCGGGGCGCCGCGTGTGTGAAGAAGCCATGATCGGCAAGCCCCACGAAGGAACATTGCAGCGGCGCCGAGGCGGAAGTGCGCACTCTGCTTGACCTCACCCTGCAAGTTCGCAGGTTCTGGCGAGGCGGCGCGGGAGGAGGAAGAGGATGATGAGGAGGAGGAGCAGTAGGAGGAGGAACAGGAGCAGGACGAGGACGAGGAGGAGAAGGAGGAGCAGGAGCAGGAGGACGAAGACGAGAACGAGGACGAGGGGTAAAGACGCGGCCGCGTGGTGTGAGCACGCGGGGCGAAGACGCGGCCGCAGGGCGTGAGCCACCTGACCTCGCCGTTCCGCGCGCGCGCGCGCCCGGCCTTACGTGAAAGGGAACAGGTTGGCGGACTGCGGCATTCAAATTGCCTGCTACTCTCAAATCAAAGCTTGCACTCAGGGGCTCTTACTTTCTTCATGAGGAACGAGGCCCTGTGTCGACTTCGCCGCCTTGTTATCGCCGTCGCCACCCCGTCGCCCCCGGTCGTCTGGGCCCCAGTCGGGTCCACCGCCTTGTTGTCGCCGCCCCGTCGCCGCCTCGTCGCCGACCGTCGTCTGGGCCCCAGTGTCGAGTCCGCCGCCTTGTTGTTGTTGTCGCCGTCGCCGCCCCGTTGCCGCCCGTCGTCTGGGCCCCGGTGTCGAGTCCGCCGCCTTGTCGCCGTCGCCGCCCCGTCGCCGCCTCGTCGCCTGGGCCCCGGTGTCGGGTCCGCCGCCGTGTTGTTGTTGATGTTGTTGTTGTTGTTGTTGCTGTTGTTGTTGCTGTTGTCGCCGTCGCCACCCAATCGCCACCTCGTCGCCGCCAGTCGTCTGGGCCCCGGTGTCGGGTCCGCCGCCCTGATGTCGCCCGTCGCCGCCCCGTCGCCGCCTCGTCGCCGACCGTCGTCTGGGCCCCAGTGTTGAGTCCGCCTTGTTGAATTCTCACTTCTGAGGAATAATTATTGTTGATCCCCCCCCACTGGTGCACTCTGTTTTTCCTCAATCAAAGTGTGCCCCTCGACGCTCGCACCCTGTTTTTTTGACAGGGAAGGTCTTCCTGCTCAAACTGGCCCCCTGGCCCCCGGGTTACAACAACAACGGTTCCCGCCTGAGACTTCCTTACAATTTAGCCAGGACCCCCTCTCCCGCCCGAGACGTCCTTGCATTTTATTCAGGAGTCGCGCTCTCGCTTAGGACTTCTTAGAATTCATTCAAGAATCGCTCTCCCGGCGCTCTGGAGTCGCGCTCTCGCTGGAGACTCGCTTGCAACTTACTGAAGAATGGCCTTGCGTTGGAATGTCCTGCAGTTTGCCCCGAGGCGCCGCGCTCCCGACACCCAGGCACCCAGGACTCGCGCCCGTTGTGGCCCCATGTGCATGCCCTTCGTGGCCCCGCTGTCGCCATTTGTGTCCCCCTCACTGTCCTACGTGGCCCAGTTGCTACCCTCAGTGGCCCCATAGTTGCCTTCTGTGGCCCCGCATTATCTGCACTTCGTGGCCCCCGCTCGTTCGCGCTCTTCGTGGCCCCATACGCATTCCCTTCGTGTCCCCGCTGTCGCCCTTCGTGGCCTACTTCGTGCCCTTCGTGGCCCTGCTGTCGTTCTCTCTCGCTCTCGCTTTCGCTCGTCGTCGCCGTCGTCGTCGTCGTCGCCGTCGTCTTCGACGTCGTCGTCGTCGTCGTCGTCGTCGTCGTCGTCGTCGTCGTCGTCGTCGTCGTCGTGGTCGGTCCCCTGTCCGTCCCTCTTGGGGTCGGGTCGACGGTCCGCGGCCGCCCCGCCGACCAGGCCGACGGTCCGCGGCCGCCCCGCCGCTTGCCGGGGCCCGGCCTGCAGGGAAGAAAGGTATACCCCCCAAATGGGGTTCGATCGAAGACAAAGAGGGCGGGTATCGAGGGTTTGGGAAATACGCGTTATTGGACACTCGAGCATATAAGGGCGAACAGTCTTAAAATTGTTGTTGTTGTTGTTGTTGAACATTATTACTTCTAAAGAATAATTATTGTTGGGACCCCTGGTGCGCGACCCCCCTCCAAAACCTAGGCCGCAGCTACATTTTCATCATTTTTTAGCGAAAGCTTCAGAAAAGTGAATTATTACCGGATCCGGTTGTTTTGTTGTACTCCGTTTTCCCTTGCAAAAAACACTATAAAATGAAAATTCTTGTTCTTACTTGATCAAATTGCAAGAATCCCTTGCAAAAAATAAGGTAAAGTGGACATTCGTGCGCGCAAGACGAAATCCTTCCAAAACCTTAGGTTTCGTAGCGATTTTAACATAAAAACATCAAAAACCCAATGGTTTTTTAAGAAAAAATTGTCAAAATGTCCTTCCGCGCGCGCTGTCCGAATCCCACAAAACCAATGGTTTTTCAACATTTATGTTACATGAGCTCGCGCGAGCTACTTTTTCTTGTTCTAACATAATCAAATTTCAATAATCCCTTGCAAAAAATAAGGTAAAGTGGACATTCGCGCGCGCAAGACGAAATCCTTCCAGAACCTTAGGTTTCGTAACGATTTCAACATAAAAACATCAAAAACCCAATGGTTTTTCAAAAAAAAATGTCCAAATTTCATCCCGCGCGCGCTGTCCGACTCCCACAAAACCAATGGTTTTTCAACATTTATGTTACATGAGCTCGCGCGAGCTACTTTTTCTTGTTCTAACATAATCAAATTTCAATATCCCTTGCAAAAAAAAGTAAAGTGGACATTCGCGCGCGCAAGACCAACAAAAAACACGACGATCTCAGGAACTTGCCCCAAAAATGTGACCAACTCCGCTCTCTCTGTCTCTCTCTCTGTCTGCTCTCTGTCTCTCTCTCTGTCTGTCTGTGTCATGTATTGTATGTCACAATTGCAGGATGCTGGGCACACGCGCGCCCCGAATAAGTGACCAAGTTCTGTGGGTGTGTACCCCACGCCAGTGTAGTAGCCACGGTCGTCCGCACGCCACGAAGTGAAGTGTCCCAACGTCATAGGGCGGGAAGCTGGGTTTGGGTGGTCGCGAAGAGTCGTTTGGATATTTGGTAGAGCTTGAACTGCCCCCCCACGAAGTGGGGGTATTGTCTCGCGTCGCATGAAAACCCTGGCACTGGTGAGAACACTGAGCGTTCGGGTAAAATGATTGTGATTGTTGTTGTTGTTGTTGTTGTTGTCGCCGTCGCCGCCCCGTCGCCGCCTCGTCGCCGCCAGGCGTCTGGGCCTCGGTGTCGGATCCGCCACCAGATTGTTGTCGCCGTCGCTGCCCCGTCGCAGCCTCGTTTCCGCTCATCGTCTGAGCGTAGCCTGGCTCTGCTTTGAAATTGCGCAACATGTATTGACCACCACATATTGCACAACATACATTGCACCACATGCATTCTCCTTTCTTAAAAGATATACTCTACCCGTTCCCGGCGTTATCGGCCCCCTTTCGGGTATGTAAACCACATATGGTTCTGACCACATGTCCATCCTAAATATGAAATCACAATGTCCCAGGCCAGCCGGTATTCGTCGTTGTCGCCGTGGTCGTCCTTCCTCCTCCTCCCTCGTCGTCGTCGTCGTCGTCGTCGTCGTCGTCGTCGTCGTCGTCGTCGTCCGTCGTCGGCTTCTCGTCGTCGTCCCTCCTATTTCGTCGCCGCCGTCGTCGTCGTCGTCGTCGTCGTCGTCGTTGTCGTCGTCGTCTTCCCTCCTCCCTCGTCGTTGTCGTCGTCGGCGTCGCCGTCCTTCCTCCTTCTTCGTCGTTGTCGTCGTTGTCGTCGTTGTCGCCGTCGTCGTCCTTCCTCATCCCTCGTCGTCGTCTTCGTTGGCGTCGTCGTCGTCCTCCCTCCTCCCTCGTCGTGGTCGTCGTTGTCGTCGTTGTCGCCGTCGTCGTCCTTCCTCCTCCCTCGTCGTCGTCTTCGTTGGCGTCGTCGTCGTCGTCTTCGTCGTCGTCGGCGTCGTTGTCGTCGTCGAAGTCGTCGGAGACGTCGTCGGTGTCGTCGTAGTCGTTGTCGTCGGTGTTGTCGTAGTCGGTCTTAAGAGGTTTTGCAAACCAAGTTGCGGGTGGGTGGGTGGGATGTTTGCAAGAGCGTGGGATGTGTCAAATCAGGGGTAAAAATCAATTGCACCTCATAGATTGCACCACGTCGATTGCACGACATAGATTGCGTGCGGCATATCCACGCTGGCTAACATGAATGATGTCACACAGGTGACAGTATTCAGGCGACACTAGCGGATGCACAGGAACAAGTGCACGGGCACAAGTTCATTGGATCCAGTGGATCAGTCAGAAAATCCATCAAAATGATGCGTTCCAAACCTGTGGAAGCAGATCCACATACAGCACAGCGACTTCAACGCGCCAGCACACGGGAAATCAACGCTGGTGTTGGGGACCATGCCCTCAAAAGATCATAACCGAAGAGCCCTTGTATGTCGCTTCCTCACGAGTGCACAGAAGACTGCGGCATGCTAACCAGCACTCCCCCCACACATTCACCACCTCCCTCCTCCCCCTCGCCCTCACAGCGAAATCTTCGTGGACTGCATCTGTGGCTGGGTGCTGCCATTAGTCACTATCCTGGTAACGACCTCGCTCAGCTGAAGGCCGTCCTGCGCCGGGGGTTGTCGCCTCCTCGACGCCGAGCTCCCGAAGGAGGAGGAGTCGCTGCCAGCGGCTCTTGCCTTGATTTCTACCGCGCCCTTGCGCTGCATGCGGCGGCGCCTCGTCTTCGAGATGGACACGAAGGCCACGTCCGCCTCGCCCGCGGCCTGCGCGGGCTCGGAGCCCGTGGAGTTGCTCGCGCCGCTCGCATTGCCGGCGCCCGCCGCACTGGACCGCTGCTGCTGCCACGCGCGCGCGGCCGCGCTGCGCAGGGACTCGCCCCCAGCGGCGTCGAGGCTACCCGCCAAGGCGGCCTGGGACTGGTCCGCGGAGGACTCGGCCTGGTCTTAGATCGGGCATGTCCTCCTAGAGGCGGATTTTTGAAGAAAGCATGAACAGTTGCCAAAAACCATTAGAAAAAATCTATGAAGAAGTTGAATAATCGTGCCCAGATTATGTTCGGACTATTTCTGGATATTCCTCTCTAGAGGGACGTGCCCGACGTCAGCCTGGGACGTGGCGGCGCTGGTCCCGTCGGTGGAGACGCCGGGGTCGGAGCTGGGCCGCTGGGGTAGCTCCAGGGTCTCCATCCAGGGGGACTTGCAGTCCAGGAAGGTGTTCTTTGTGGTCAGGAAGCTGTGTCGATGAACCAAGATGACAAAGTCTTACGATCCATCATGCTTCCGCTAGGCGCCTTGCGGCTGAAGCTGCTGTTCTGCGCTGAGCCAAGAGAAAGGCGGCGACGGCGACGCGCTGCCTCTGCCTCCTGCTGCTCCTCGTCCTCCACGTCCACGTTCTTTGTGGTCAGCAGCCCTCTGCGCTCCATGGCGTGCCTCCGCCTACCCAGGCGGCGATGGGCGCCGACAGCCAGCTCGGCCTGGGCGGGCACGCTGTGTGGGTCAGCCGCAATGCCGCTGACGCTGCAGCAGCAAAGGAAGAGCGGCCGCTCAGCACGAGCGCCTGAGCCGGAGCGGCCAAAGGCAAAATGTCAGCAGGAGCGGCTCGGGCGATCTTGGGGCATTCTTTGGACCGCACAGAGCAGCTGGAGCCCTCTCCAGGCCAACGTCGACCAACTTCAACGCTCTTGGTGGTCCTCCTCCTGCTCCTCTTTCTCCTCCTCCTCCTCCTCCTCCTCCTCCTCCTCCTCCTCCTCCTCCTCCATCTCCTCCTCCTCCTCTTTCTCCTCCTCCTCCTCCTCCTCCTCCTCCTCCTCCTCCTCCTCCTCCTCCCTCCTCCCTCACTTGTGCTCCCCGTCGCACCCCTGGGCGTGTCGGCAGGGCGGGCCGGGCGTTGCGCCCGAGACCTCCTCATCCTCTACGGTCCGGAAGCTGAAGCTTGCAACAACAACTGTAAGGATGAAGGGCCAGTAGTTGTCAGGATTCGGGGTGAGGAAGAGGATGAGGACGAGGCAGGATGAAGAAAGTAAAGAATGAAGGAAACATGACGAGGAAGTGAAAGAGGATGAGGACGAGAAAGCGAAGGAGTAGAATCCTGAACAAGAACTTTAAGGATGAAGGGCCAGTAGTTTTCAGGATCCGTTTCTCGCACCAGCGCCGCGCGCACTCGTCTTGAACAGTTGCAGCAGTTCTGCGGGTCCGTGAGGTCGAAGTCCTGGGGATTGTGCTCCGCTGCGACTTACGACTGCCAGGGCGCAACTGTCATGCTGATTATAATTCTTGAAGTCCCAGAGCTGGCTTCCTTTCACGATCTAGGACTATCAGGACGTAGAAGTCACGTTCATTCGCGGCGTTGAGGTCTCATTGAGGTTTCTCAGACGGTTGCCTTTCCATGGGGCACTTCCCACACTGAAAACAGTTTCTTGCAGGGCACGACGGCGAGGGAACGTGGGAGGGAGGTGTCATTGCAACATCGTCGATGCATCTTGGGTTTGCACTGGCCCTCCTGCTGATCCTGCTCCTGCTCCTGCTCCTGCTCCTCCTTCTCCCGCTCCTGCTCCTTCTCTCCGAGCGGGGGACGCTGACCCTGCCATCCAGATGCCCACGGCTTGCGTCGACCAGTGGCTGACTACGCGGAGGGATCTCCCTGAGCTCGGGCATGGAGTGCGACAGTCCTGGCGTCAGGTTGTGCAGCACCTGCGCACCATCCCTGAGGCCCAGCGCTCACGGCACGTTCGTGGGCCTCTCTCACCGGTGGTGCTACACCTCATGCAGGCGGGCTGGGGCGTTGACGAACCCACGGCATGGACAGTGCCGCCGCCGCACGAGGCAGCAGGGGACGACTGGAGATTCGACGACGGTATGTACACGGGTGACAGAGCAATTGACTCCCATGCTGCCTTCTTGGAAGATTTTCCGTTTTCGCTGAGATGTACGCTGTGGAATCAAGCTAGTCGCCATTTCTGCGGGACTGGCCTTGAAGGAGGTGTGGACTGTGCTTCAGATCGTGTACTTCTTCAACAACTCGCTGCAATGCCAGGCTATGGGCACCGCTTGTCCGAGACCATGCTGACGTGCGCGGTGGGAGGCACTTGGCCCATGCAGAGACGCAAGGATGAGATAGCGAGTTTCGACGGCAATGTGATGTGCCCGCGATGCGGGAAGGAGCCCGAAACGGCCAAGCACCGTATCTGGCTCTGCGAGTGCAATCAGGGCAAGATGGCTTTCGACGACTCGCAGGACCTTCTGCCGCAAGCGGTGGCGCAGATGGGCATGGACGAAGGCTTCTGGATGAGGGGCATGATGCCAGCTGCGTGGACGGCTGTCCCCCCGCCTGTCTCAGTCGAATGCTGAACTGTGGCGGGACTCAATGAAGTCTCTCCAGGCTGCTGGGGGGAGGGCACGGCAGAGTGCCCCCTCATCATCAATGGCGATGCTGGCGGAGGAGCTGACAGCAGCAGCAATCTTTTTTCGGCGTGTTGGAATTGCTGTAGCCCGTTTCGCCTCCTTAGAGCCTGTCGTGGAGCTTGTCAGCACCGTCAGAGGACCGCTGTGTGGCCTCCGCCACGTTGTAGCGAGGGGCGAGCTGCGTGCGCTTGTGCTCGCAGTTTGGTTTTCGAGGTTCCATTTTATGTGTATCCGATTGCGAACCTGTAGTAAAATGATGGTTTGCTCGCAGATTCGAGACGCCGCAGAGTGAAGACAGGGATTTGTGGGCGCAGCTCGGCCAGCTTCTAAGGCAGAGACTGGGTGGAGCTGCGTCGGTGACATTTTTTCACCAACTCTCACCTCACGGCTCAGGACATTGTGCGTGAGGTGGCGCCCAGATGGTTGGTGACCAGCAATGCCGTTGTGAACGAGATTGCAGGCCTCGCAGCGCGGGAGGCACGGCTTCCGCAGCAGGTTCGGACCACAGTTCTTTTCCACAGGCAGAGAGCAAGGCTTGTGCGCATGCGCATCTTGCGCGCCACGCTCGATGCCTGCGATGCCGAGCTGGAAAACAGAGTCGAGCCTCGTGGGAAAAAGTCCGTCCCCGCCCCGCCTGCCCCCCCCCTCTCCTGCGTCTCTCTCCCTCCTCTCTTCGAGCCACTGCCCTGATGAGACAGGGCGAAGGTGCACGCGCTGTGGGGGCTCAGCCACGGCATGGCGTCAATCACCTTGCTTCGAACCCCTGAGCTATAACGGAAGTATGTTCTACAAAACCCCCCCTAGCCCAGTTGCACATGGCGTTTTCTGTTGTTGACTCCTCTCGTCGTACGCGGTGGCATGATGACCTGAAATTGTGGTATTGTAGTCGGTGTGGGTGCTGCGGGCATCAATTGCTGGATGGGCTCGGCCATCCTTGTCAGCGCCCCACCCCCGGCCGGCTTGAGTATCTCTCCGGAATCTCTAGGGGCTCTGGCCAAAAGGTTCTGAGCAAGACGGAGAAGGCCACCCGACGCAAAGGGGCGGCATGACGGTTGGCCCTTTGTCGCATTGCATGTTGCATGTCTGTCGTCAGCATTGTCGATTGTCGTTGCACCTCTGACGTTGTCATATATCCAGTTCCAGTTCCAGTTCCCCTCCCTCCTGCTCCTGCTCCTACTCCTTACCCTCGCTCTCTCATGTCCTGTGGCTCCACTGAGGTCAGTCACCGCTCCGCCCCCTGTGTCCGCATCCTCATCTTCCTCCATACCCGACCCCCGACCTGCTCCTCCTCCTCCTCCTCCTCCTCCTCCTCCTCTTCCTCCTACTGCACCTCCTATTCAACCTCTTGCTCCTCCTTCTCCTGATCTGCGATCGCGTTGGAACCGATTCCTGGGCTTTCCCTCTCACCCTCTAACACCTCTTCCTTCTTCACATTCCTCCTCATTATCATGACCTGTAAAGCTACCAGGGACTTCGGGCAGAAGGATTCAACATGCTGTCGGATGGCGAGTTCTGGCGTCTGCCCTTCAGTGCTTCGTGTCAGCTCGGCAGGCGATGGCGTGCAAGTGCATCCCAAACGCACTGCATACATGCAAGGGCGGCGGGGTGGTAAGGTTGCAAGTCAGCCGCTGACTCCAAGGATCATCATCACCACCACCACCACCACCACCACCACCACCACCACCACCACCACCACCACCACCACCACCTCCATCATCATCATCATCATCATCATCATCATCATCATCATAATCATCATCATCATCACCATCATCATCATCGTCATCATCATCATCCTTATCATCAGCATCATCCTTATCATCATCAACATCATCATCAGCATCATCATCATCAGCATCATCCTTGTCATCATCATCATCATCATCATCATCATCATCATCATCATCATCACCATCACCATCATCATCATCATTATCATCATCATCATCATCCTTATTACCACCATCATAATCATCATCATAAGCATCATCGTCATCATCATCATCATCACCATCACCATCATCGGCATCATCAAAGGGGTCCTCCTCCTCCTCCTCCTCCTCCTCCTCCTCCTCCTCCTCCTCCTCCTCCTCCTCCTCCCCCCCCTCCTCCCTCCTCCGTCCATGTTTCCTCCCTGTCGCACCCCTAGGCGTGTCGGTAGGGCGGGCGGGCCAAGCGGTTCGCCTGAGACTTCCCCAGCCTCCACGGTCCTGGAACGTTGAATTCGCAAACACTTCAAGGATGAAGGGCGGGTGGTTTTCATAATGTGGTTCTCGCATCACTGCCGCGCGGATGTGTCTTACCATACTGCAGTAGTTTCACGGATATGTAGGGTCGAAGTCCCAGGAATGGTACTCTGACGCGGTTTGGGGCTGTCTGGATGTAACTGTCATGTTGGTTCAAGGTGCTGACGTCCAAGGAATGTTTTTTGAAACTGACAAGGCGTAAATGTTACGTTTCGCGGAGTTGACGTCCCAGGAATTGTGTTTCCGCGCTGAACATACATTCGCGTGGAGGCCTGTGACGAGGGAACTCGTGAGGGCGTTATTGCGACATCGTGGATGCATCTTGGGTTTACACTGGTCCTCCTCCTGCTCCTGGTCCTGCTCCTCCTCCTCCTCGTCATCCTCCTCCTTCCTCCTGCTGGCACTTCTGCTCCTCACCCTCATCCTCATCGACCCACCCCCATGTGGCTCCTCTGAGGTCCTTCACTGCTCCGCCCCTTTCTCCTCAATTTTAAATTTCGCCCATACCTGACCCCCTGATACCCCTCCTCCTCATCGTCTTCCTCCTCCGCCTCCTCCTCCTCCTCCTCCCCCTCCTTCTCC